AGTGTGCGGACCATTTTCATTTATATAGTGCTCTCTGAACACAAATTAGTTAGCATAAATCAGTTAAATGACGAATAATTAGGTGTCTATTTACTTGTGACCACTCACTGCACACATAGTGTTGTATTACATATGTATTATAATGTTTGTAAATGACTTCAATAAGTAGAGCAAGAAACATTATTACAAATGTACAACATTTCGACAAGATTTTGTCATCATATTCTAGCTGACGTACACATTCTACATGGTTTAGATAAGCGATAGAGCTGACATGGCCTGCTGGCTATGGCGCTCTAGAACGCTATTATGTGACGGTCAATCCCCACTGTTCGTTGCTAAAGAGCAGCCTTAGAGTCTATCACTTCAAAATTAGGGATGGTTGTTAAGCACAAAACTGCACAATGAGTTAACTATGTTTCTGCTAACCACTGGTATCGAAACCTGATTTTTGCGTCATAAGCCTATAGACTTACCGCTGATCCACTGGGTGGCATTAAGGGCGGCTAGTGCATATTACCATCGAGTAGTTTGTACAAAATTCAACGAAACAAACACATGTAACGCCAGATTTCAGTTTATTTTTAGTGTTGGTTTTTCATTTGTTTAGGCGCAAAAGTATACAATAGGCTATCTGTGCTGTGCCCATCGCAAAGATTGAGTAGCCACCAGGAGGCAGCAATAGGGAGATTATGGGTATTATAAAAATCTGTTATTGTCGTCACGAGAGTAACATAACAGTTATTTTTTGTAATATAGTGGTAATTGGATTTACAAACTCATCCCCTTCTTTCCACCACCCCTCCAAAAAAAAACAAAAAAAAAACGATCATATAACACTAGAGTGATATACGTATACTACTTGCTCACTAATATTTTGTTTGACGCCCTTGTCAGAAGCACACAATCTATACATATATTTAACGTAGTAACTAAAAAATGCATTTCAAGCATTATAAAGTTGCTTTTGATGTATGGGTTAAAATAGAATGTAGTAGTTGATTTAAGTATCAATAAACTGAAGTTGTGCATTTGATGTTCTAACTGATCTTGTAGTTTTCAATACCGATTTAATGAATTTTAAGTGAAATTAAAATGTCACTGACGTTTTCATTAAAACAGTGAAACACAGTGCACACGTTTCAAGTAAAGTATAAATTTTATTTCTGATTTTCGCTTCGAAAGTCACCAGCTAGTCTTCATTTTATATATAAGAAGTAATCTTGTTTGAACGTAAAGGTGAAATGGACAGTAGGTAGTTACAACCAATGTTAATACTAATTGTGATTAAATGTATTAATATTTTAATTACGAGGATAAGTTATTGTTTAAATTGAAAACTTAATTATATTTTTATGAAGTAAAGTTAAAATTCGAAAATAATATACGTCCATTTCGTAAGAAGTTGTTGTTGTTTGTTATTAAGCACAAAGTTACACAAAGGGCTATCTGTGCTCTTCTCACCACGGGTATCGAAACCTGGTTCCTTGTAGTGTAAGTCCGCAGGCGTACTACTGTGCCGATTCGTAGAAATCGTTTACTTGATTGTTGTTTATTGTTTGCTGTGTCGAGCATTGGAAATTGAAAAAAAAAAAAAATTAAGCGCGTATATCCTTCATAATACGAGTTCAACGGCGTAATTAGAACAAGTTTTTCTTTGTTTATTTTTTTTAGAATGTTCCCACAAAGATATATAACCGATCGATACAGGGAAAGTAACTTATAAATAATGTCAAACGTCAACTCATGGGTTATTCTTATCTGACCGAATACTACTGCAGTTGTGTAGCTTTATGCTTAATTACAAACAAATACAACTTACTGGTCACATAAAAATTTAAAATAAAGTACAAAATACAAAATATCAGAATACTAATGTAAGACGTTCACTTGAAAATTTATTTATACTACCTCTTAAACGTAGTGTTGCGTCAGGGAGGTCACGTGACTAGTATCACGCCACGTATTTCTAGAAATATCCTGTTCCTTCATGAATGCCCTAGCATTTACTAGACATGT